AAGGGGCAGGAGAGGAGAGATGGAACAATCGAGCACCTACTATGAAGCAAGTCTGTATTCAGCATTTTCACATATCCTACAGGTCAGCTATTATTAGACCCACCCATTTTTCAGATAATAGACTTGGAGATGCAAAGGCAGTAAGTAACTTGGCCGAATCACTGAACCAGTAAGTGACAGAGCTGTTATTTGAATCCATAGATCTTGAACACTCATGTTCTAGCCACTCTTAACACTTTGAGTTTCTTTCAAGAATTATTTAAACCTTCAACAACACCCATACTTCAGGTAATTAAGGTCTTAGAGAATAAGCAAGAGAAAGATGCTTTGCTTCTATTCAGTTTTTAATTTTGCTTTTTATTCATGACATGCGTTATAACTACCACCCATATCAATCTATGGCCTGAGCCCCCATTTCTCCTCCTTGATATGCTTCTTCTAATTGGAATCCACAGAGGTCATTCTTTTGCTGTACCTATTAACTTCTGTTTCATTTACAACATTGCTCTATTAGACTTGTGGAGATTATTAACTTGGATTTTCAAATCAGATTTCCTGCAACTCTGCTCAAGGCAACCTTATTTTCCCAGTAGAAGAATCATGTATTTTCAGTGAGTGGTCATAAATATTGAAGAGTTAGTTCCTAGCTAACTTAAAAGAATAAAAGATGGAACATCCTTCAAATTTCCTTCTGATCTAATTTTGGTTGAGTAAGCTGTTTGCAAAGGTCACATATGAAAACAATGTCATAAAGAGCTCTAAGGGGTGTATTTACAGGTTTGGCGTGTGTGTGTGTGTGTGTGTGTGTGTGTGTGTGTGTGTGTGTGTGTTTGAATGTGTTCCTACATTTGTAAAAGAAAGGATAAATTACAAAATGAGAGCATTAAAATGACCTGAGAGAATAAAATGCCCAATTCTTTCTTCGTGGTACTATATGGAAATTGTTGATTACCCCACCAATCACCTGCGCCTCTGGAAGCTCCTGAGGGTTTCTGAATTACCAAAGAAGGAATAAAGTTTCTCTCCATTTTTTTTTTTTCCACTTGGTTTTATGGTCAGCTATGTTTTCTTATGTTTACAAGCCCTGCAAGTTAGAGATGATAGAAATTTTATAGATTCAGTAATATTATTAAGAATATTTTAAAACCTAGATGACTTTTTTTTGAATTAAATGAAGTTTATTAAACCATGATTGAGATAGTGTCATCTATCTTAAATTTTAATATTCTAATCTATATGTCTTTACCGTATTGCTATGGAACAGTTGTTATTAATGCCAATTTAAGTGTTTCTCCTAGTTCTCTTTTTCCCGTTCCACTGCTACCTACCTGGTGCAAACACTTCTCTGTGTGTGTATGTGTGTGTGTGTGTGTTTGTGTTTTAATTGAAAACAAGCTGCTTGCTGGCACATACAGTTTCTTTGCTGGAATTAGAAAAAGGCACCCACTCTGGGTGGACAGTTTAGAAACAGTTGCTTTCCTTCACTCCTTCTCTCAACTGGGTCCGTTTCTGTTATACCTGTGCAACTATATACATTTGATTATAAATTGTGACGTATTTATAAGCCTTTAAAATTTAAGCCTGAATTAGTAAATGACCTCATTATTGGTCTCCTTGCCTTCAGCCTTTTGACTTTCCAATTTGTTTCACGTCTGCTTCATTAACCTTCATCTTCAAACAGCTTTTGCCATCGCATCTCCTTATGCAATGCCTTCAGTGTCCCCTTACGCCTCACCCGATGCTCAGAACCCTCCAGAATCTGGCTCTGCGACCTCCTTTTGTAGCCTTAACTCTCACTCCTCCTCAGTGTGGACCCTACCCTCTTGTCAGACTGGTTTAGTTAGCATTTACCGAGCATGTCTTGTCATACCTACCCCTAAGTTGCCATTCCTCTCATCTGGAACCTTCCCCTCCATTTCATATGTCTAGCTAATTTAAAGAATAAATTATGGGGTCATCCTTCAAACTGAAGCAGTACCATGCATTCTGTCACCAAGTTTTTATCAATGTACAAAATTAATTTTCATTACAACTAAGTATACGTGTGATTTCCACAGCATGAAATATTCTGCTGAAGCACAGTACCTTCCTAAGTCAATATCAAAGAAAGAGGACAGATTTAGCAGAATGTTCAAGAACTTTCCTTCCTGAGAACACGGTCAAGATAGTAAACAAGTCTTTTGGAGGCATACCATGCTGAGGGGTGAATGAGGAATAAGGGGATAATTGTAGAAGAACTTTTTAATTTAGTAAAACTTGCTTTAAATAGAAAATGGTGTTAACATTTTAAGACCTTCAAGGATGTTGGTGAAAAATGCCAGCATTAGAAAGGGAACCATGAAGACAAAAGAAGTTCACTACTTCTCATCTGTCTCAGACATTTGCATCCTTAAAGAACCAGATGAAAGTTTGCCTTGATTTCTTTTGCCCATGACAATGTGTCCCTCTCCTAAGCACGAATATCATGGATCTTCTGCATAACTCTGGAGTGAATGATGTCAGCGCTCTGCCCACACCCGTTCACCTAGCCCAGAAGTCACCTCTCTTATGCACTGATGGCCTCCTGCATCTCTCTGCCTGATGGTATCCTCTCACCTGGGTGCATCTCTGGTCCATGTGCAGCGTAGGTCAGAGTGTTGGGAAATTAACATCCCAGGAGCTACCCTCAAAAAGCGGGGGATAGGAATTGACAAATGCTGCATTTGCTCACCCTGCGGTGGGATACTCTTCAAACGTGTCCCACGTGGTCTCTCAGAAGGTCTCCAGTAGCACTGAACCTGTTACTCACAGTGGTCACGTGCTCAATCGCACACTCTACTGGCTTTCCTTCCTCATCTTGCTGCCCCGCTTCCTCCCAGCCCTTCCTGGAACCATCTTCTAAATACTAAGTCGTTTGCACCCAGATTCTTGTTCCCAATACCTTCATTAGTATTATGCCTCATTTCCTTCCTCTTGCCTCCTTACATGTTTTGTGCTCTTGAGGATGAATCCACTCCCAGCCACAACACACACACTTCATATAGCATCGTGGTCACAGTAGCTAATGAGGATGTCTTTGTTGATCAAATCAACCCTGGAACGAAGAAGGCCCTGGTGGATTTTTCTGGGAATTGATTCCAGTGGAATTTTGAATATAAGGGAATGTTATTTCTAAAGTACAGGATTTCTTCTCATACTACTTTCTAAGAAAGGTTTTTAGATATCAAATGATTTGATAGATTCCTTTTTTCATACTTGACTGCATCGTCCACAGCTTGTTATCCGTATCAGTCAGATTCAAGTGTTGTTATTAATTCTCTTGCTGTTTATGCATTTCATCCTGCCTCCTGCCTCAGGCAGAAGTTGACAGAATTAGTGGGACCAAAGCATGGCGGGGACTCCAGGTGTCCTCAGCTCTGTGCGCTACCAGCTGGCTGACATCCTGGCAGGCCCTCGGGCAGGGGACCAGCATGCCCCCTCTTCTAGAGCAACATTATGCACAATACAATTTCCTGGCAGCATCTAGAAAAACTGATTAGAAACCCACCCAAAGCAGGTATTTTTCCACTGCATTTCAAGTCCATCTCTTTTGTCAGGGCAGAGATTTGACTAGAAGAGCGGCAGGGAGGACAGTCGCTTAATTGCCATTTTAGAATGCAGATGTGCACAGTGTTGAGGAAGAGAAAGGGCTGCCTTGGGGCTATTTTCAGTTTGTTCTCTTATGACTATTAGATCTTAGGCCAATTTTTAAATTAGCATTTATTTACATTGTGTTCTTGTCACGGGAACCCTGGTTAAGGTGTGAAATACATAGGATTCTGTTATTACTCCTTGGTTGAGGCAATGCCTGTAAGTCCTAACCAGTCTCCCTGAGGCAATCCAATAGTGAATGTTTACTTTCAAACCTTGCATTAGTTTCGTCTTGCGTACATTACAGTGTCGTGTGGCCATCTACCATCTGCAGCGCGCTGACTGATCGGAGTTCTCAAACGTGATGTTGTACAAAGAACAGTGCTCACCTGAATGTGGATTTTCCTTTTCTCTCCCCTCCACTCCCCTCCTTCATCTTGCCTTCCTCTCCCCCTCCTTTTTATTTTTATCTTTATTTTTTAGCTTCTTTAAGGATCAGCTCATTTTACAGGAGGATGGGCATCTTACTCCTAGGAATAAAACTCGAAATGTTTCGCATTATTTTTGATTAGATTCTTTCAAATAACCAGCACAATGATACTTGCACATAGTGGGCTCTCAACAAATACCTGTTGAATAAATTAATCACACGAAGAATGGATCTTGGCAACCGAAGGTAAGATAAATACCTGCATGTGCATAACTGTGCCTTCCATGCCTGCATATCTCCTGAAAGCCATCGCTACCATTGCATTTACCAGCAGAAATTGTGAAGGTTACATCTGAATTTAGAAATCTGAGATGTCCCATCTGAGTTTATGATCAGATATGAAGGAGCTAGAGCAACTGTTTGCTTTCAGAGATGCCCTAAGGAAAAAAGAAACTATGCCTTAAATAGAAGTCAAGAAAGCTGTGTTCTAGTTCTGGTTCTGTCACTAAAAATCTATGATTGCTTTTGCTTCAGGGACCTTATTTGTAAAATGAGGAGATTAGCATCAATTAGCTGTACTGTCTTCCATCAACGAATCAATGACTTTATGACCTTCTGTAAAGAACAAGAAGAGACAGGCTTTAAAAATTCGTCTTCATTAAAATGTACAGTCTTCTGAAAATGAGAAGGAAGTTATTAACACACAGTAACCAGGGATAGTTCTCAGTTGTTCTTCCACTTGACAAATGGGTCTTTCTAGTTACCTTCACTGAAAGAATGTGGTTCCTCCCCTTGCAATGTTTGCTAATTGTATTGAAAAGCTGGAAAGGAGAAAAGAACGGAAATTCTGTTTCCTGAAATATTTCTTAAGGGGAAAGAGGAAATTAACTGGTTCTGACGTTTTGTTGTCAGGAAAACATTTACTTCATCACACAGTCTGATAACTCTATTTCTTTTTCAGCTCCATAGTTCTGCTTCAGATACTCAAATGGAATTTCCAGATGGTTGCCTTCTCTAAGGTATGATGCTTCTTTCCATAAGCAATCTTTACCCTCCTTCCCTCCCACATGCAATATGTTTCCTGCATACTTGGCCCTTAAATTGTTTTCTTTTATGTTTTAAAAATAATAGCTGATGGTTTTGATGTGTTCTTTAACTAATACTTGACACCTGGGAGGGGTGTTTTGTTTCTATATCCCAAGTGATGCCACAGTCTCAGTAGAAATCTGCTTTAGAGGTTGATAGAGAATTCTTCCATCAGTCAATGTTAGGTCAGTGGCAAGTGATAAATCCATCATACTTGTCCTTCACTTTGATTTAGTTAAGACTCCACAGCATCATTTGGTCCCTCTTGTATAACCTGGGATGGAGGGAACAGAGACAACTGTGGCTTCAGCTGGAAGCTGGGCACATTTCATTGTGCTGACTGATGCTGCCTACAGCTCCGAAGCCAGCATATACCATCTTTTTTTTTTAAAGGTTTAAGGGGGTGGGGTTGATGGCGGACTCTGGGAAGGCTCATGCCAAGGAGTACTTCCCAGAACTTCTGCTGCAAGTGTCCTTGTCCCCGCAGTAAGCCCAAGCCACGCCCCCCCCCCCCCCCCCGCAGGAGACCTTCCAACACTAGTAGCTCCGATGGGGAGTTTAACAGTGCTATTGATCCACATCAGAGAGAAAAGTTCTTCAAGGTTGTTGGTCCCTGTCTCTCCCATGGGCTGCCCTCACCTCAGCTCTTACCCTTCCAAGTCAAGCTCTTTGTGCCCTAATCTGAGGGAATAGCAACATCTTGGAAATCTTCCCAACAAGTCCTCTGAGTAAGGCCGTGTGGCTGACAGGGTCTCTGTGCTCCAGCCTGGAGACAGGCCTGTGCCTGTGAGGTGGGAGAGCCAAATTCAGGACATTCGTCCACCAGAGACCTCCCGGCTCCTCATAATATCAAATGGCGAAAAGTCTCCCAGAGACCTCCATCTCAATGCTAAGACCCAGCTCCACTCAACGACCAGCAAGCTACAGTGCTGGACACCCCATGCCAAACAACTAGCAAGACAGGAACACAACCCCACCCATCAACAGAGAGGCTGCCTAAAATCATAATAAGGCCACAGACACCCCAAAACACACCACCAGACGTGGACCTGCACAACAGAAAGACAAGATCCAGCCTCATCCACCAGAACACAGGAACCAGTCTCCTCCACCAGGAAGCCTACACAACCCACTGAAACAACCTTACCCACTGGGGGCAGACACCAAAACAATGGGAGCTATGAACCTGCAGCCTGCAAAAAGGAGACCCCAAACACAGTAAGTTAAGCAAAATGAGAAGACAGAAAAACACACAGCAGATGAAGGAGCAAGGCAAAAACCCACCAGACCTAACAAGTGAAGAGTAAATAGGCAGTCTACCTGAAAAAGAATTCAGAGTAAGGATAGTAACGATGATCCAAAATGTTGGAAATAGAATGGAGAAAATACAAGAAACATTTAACAAGACCTAGAAGAACTAAAGAGCAAACAAACAATGATGAACAACACAATAAATGAAATTAAAAATTCCCTAGAAGGAATCAATAGCAGAATAACTGAGGCAGAGGAATGAACTGGAAGATAAAATAGTGGAAATAACTACTGCAGAGCGAATAAAAAAAAAAGGATGAAAAGAATTGAAGACTCTCACAGAGACCTCTGGGACAATATTAAAAACACCAACATTCACAGAAGAAGAGAAAAAGAAAGGGACTGAGAAAATATTTGAAGAGATTATAGTTGAAAACTTCCCTAAAATGGGAAAGGAAATAGTCAATCAAGTCCAGGAAGTGCAGAGAGTCCCATACAGGATAAAACCAAGGAGAAACATGCCAGGACACATATTAATCAAACTATCAAAAATTAAATACAAAGAAAAAATATTAAAAGCAGCAAGGGAAAAATGACAAATAACATACAAGGGAATCCCCATAAGATTAAAAGCTGATCCTTCAGCAGAAACTCTGCAAGCCGGAAGGGAGTGGCAGGACATATTTAAAGTGATGAAAGGGAAAAACCTACAACCAAGAACTCTACCCACCAAGGATCTCATTCAGATTTGATGGAAAAATTAAAACTTTTAGAGACAAGCAAAAGTAAGAGAATTGAGCACCACCAAACCAGCTTTACAACAAATGCTAAAGGAACTTCTCTAGGCAGGAAACACAAGAGAAGGAAAAGACCTACAATAACAAACCCAAAGCAATTAAGAAAATGGTAATAGGAACATACATACTGAAAATCACCTTAACTGTAAATAGATTAAATGCTCCAACCCAAAGAAATAGACTGGCTGAATGGATACAAAAACAAGACCCATATATATGCTGTCTACAAGAGACCCACTTCAGACCTAGGGACACATACTGACTGAAAGTGAGGGGATGAAAACAGCTATTCCATGCAAATGGAAATCAAAAGAAAGCTGGAGTAGAAATTCTCATATCAGACAAAATAGACTTTAAAATAAAGACTATTACAAGAGACCATAAACAAGATGAAAAGACAATCCTCGGAATGGGAGAAAATATTTGCAAATGAAGCAACTGACAAAAGATTAATCTACAAAATTTACAGGCAGCTCATGCAGCTCAATATCAAAAAAAAAACCCAACCCAATCCAAAAATGGGCAGAAGACCTAAATAGACATTTCTCCAAAGAAGATATACAGACTGCCAACAAACCCATGAAAGAATGCTCAACATCACTAATCATTAGCAAAATGCAAATCAAAACTACAATGAGGTGTCACCTCACACCAGTCAGAATGGCCATGATCAAAAAATCTACAAACAATAAATGCTGGAGAGGGTGTGGAGAAAAGGGAACCCTCATGCACTGTTGGTGGGAATGTAAATTGATACAGCCACTCTGGAGAACAGTATGGAGGTTCCCTAAAAAACTAAAAATAGAACTACCATATGACCCAGCAATCCCACTACTGGGCATATACCCTGAGAAAATCATAATTCAAAAAGAGTCATGTACCACAATGTTCATTGCAGCTCTATTTACAAACCAGGACATGGAAGCAACCTAAGTGTCCATCGACAGATGAATGGATAAAGAAGATGTGTCACATATATACAATGGAATATTACTCAGCCATAAAAAGAAACGTAATTGAGTTATTTGTAGTGAAGTGGATGGACCTAGAGACTGTCATACAGAGTAAAATAAGTCAGAAAGAGGGAAAACAAATATCGTATGCTAATACATATATATGGAATCTAAAATTTAAAAAAAATTGTTCTGAAGAACCGAGGGGCAGAACAGGAATAAAGATGCAGATGTAAATAATGGACTTGAGGACATGGGGAGGGGGAAGGGTAAGCTGGGACGAAGTGAGAGAATGGCATGGACATATATACACAACTACATGTAAAATAGATAGCTAGTGGGAAGCAGCTGCATAGCACAGGGAGATCAGCTGGGTGCTTTGTGACCACCTAGAGGGATGGGATAGGGAGGGTGGAAGCGAGGGAGACACAAGAGGGAGGAGATATGGGGATCTATGTATATGTATAGCTGATTCACTTTGTTATACAGCAGAAACTAACACACCATTGTAAAGCAATTATACTCCAATAAAGATGTTAAAAAAATTTTTAAAATAAATAAAAATAAAAAGTAAAGGTTTAAGGGAAGGGATTTGCTGGGTGATGTTTATCACAGTCTTTCAAAGAGCATCTGTATTTGAAATGAAGGTAGGAAAATGGAGATGAGCATAGCTGGCCTTGCACTATGAGTCAGTTTCCCAGAAAGATTTATGCTGGCAGACTTCGATTTTACAACCTGTTGACTCTTCCGTAGACCCATAGCCCACCACCCTCACAATCACAGCCACCCCTACCAGCTCCAGAACCTCCACCGTTTTCAATCTGACAACCATTATTTTGGCTACAGCATCATCATCATCTGCTCTTCACCCCACAATCCTGATATCACTTTAATTCAATTTTATCAAGAGCTTCATGACCAAAATTTTATGATGAAACTCTCTAAAATAATAATAATAATAACGTTGATTGTGTCCATTTTGCTTTATATAATTTAACTCATTTAATCCTCACAACAGGTTTTGAACTGAGTAATATTATTAACTGCATATTGTAGATATAGAAATGGAGGCTCCTGGAGTTAAGTAAGCTACACAAAGTCATAGAGCTAGTATGTGATGGAACCTGGATTTTTAACCCAGGCCCAGAATCAGAATTTTTAGCCACTAATCTAAACAAAGATTTGTTCACTGAGAGCACTTGGATTTGAAGTTTCAATAGCTTTGTCACACACAAACACGCAAAAGCACTACTTTGGACAATAGCTAGTAAACTCATAAAGTGCATTTCCCTTTGAATGTGTCAAGCTAGAGTAAACTACGTATCAGGTACGAATGAACCTTGAACTATCAGTGGCTAAACATTACAAAGGTTTGTTTCTTGCTCCCAGAAAGTCCAATGCCAAGTGCCTGGCACTCCAGGGCACTGCACCGCCCAAGAGCAGCATGGGAATACCAGCTCTCTGCAGGGTTGCTGGTGCAAGGGGAGAGAGCATGGAAAACCCGCCTACTTTTAAGGACCTCAAATGGAGAGTGACACACTTCCCATCTGTTCACAGGCATTAGCCAGAACCAGGCACATGGTCCCAACCTAACCACGGCGGCTGGGACGTGTAGGAAGAGAAAGCACATGGAATGTTCGAGAGCACTACCATGTCGTATTGCTGGACAAACATAATCCGTTCAGGTAAATAGTTGAGTCATAATTAATATATCCATAATTGGAATGCCAGGAGACACGGAACAATTCTGCTTTAGGAATCCAAGTCTCTTACTCATTTGTGACAATCCTTTTTTCATCTGAAAAGTGTATGGACTTGATAAACTCTTGTGGGATATTATAGTGTCCCAAGCCTTCGGCTGCTGCATTCTTAAGTGATGATTTATATAATTAACCATAAGGGGGAGGAAGGAAGGCATGAAATCTTCAAAAT